CCCTCTTTGTTACATCAAAGGATGGATGTCCTAACCTTCTATGCCATAAACCTAAATCTTGAACTGAACTAGTAAAACAACAGCTATTTTTCATCTCATTCTTTGCTTGACTGAAAGACATGGTGGTTGGAATTTGGCTAGGCAACTTTTTCAGCTTGAGGGTATACAGGCCATCTTTAAGAGTCCCTTTGAGAAGTGGTGTTCTTGATGTTTGATCCTTGACAACACAAAAGGAAGGGAAAAATTCAAAAAAGACATTATCTTTGGCAAATTGAGCAACACTAATCAGATTCTTTGCTATTTGTGGTACATGTAAAAGGTTGTTTAAAGTGAAAGTATGTTTAGTGGCGGCATTGTTGTGTTGATCAATGACATGTGTCTTACCAACATGAGGTATTTCAAGTCCAGCTCCATTTCCAACATGCACTTTGTTGTTTCCTGCATAATCTGAGGCAATACTAAGATTAGAGAAATCATTAGTGAGATGATGAGATGCTCCTGAGTCTGGAAACCAATCACTTTCTCTTGTGTTCTCTCTTGCTGCATACATTGCTGAGACATGATTTCCTACACCTCTGTTCTCACTGAAATTCCTCTGATTCTGCTCTCTTGGCACAAAATCTGGATTAAATCTATTATAACACTTATCAGCTGAGTGATTTGTGTAGCCACAAATTTGACATTGCACTCTATTTCCAATATTTCTGCCACTACCTCTTCCTCTTGTATTTCTGCCTCTTCCTCTGAAATTGCATTTGCCTCTTCCAAAGCAAAAATTTTGTGTTAGCTTGTTTGTTTGTGAACCAAAATTTGCTGTGGGCATATTGATGTTTTCAGTGGCAAGAGTTGTTGCTTCTAACCTGCTTTCATAAGTAAGCAACAAGGATACAACATCCACCAACGTGAGATTTTCTGGCCTTGCATTTATACTGACCACAACTGCATCATATTCAGAACCTAGTCCACTTAGGACATGCATGATTTGATCTTGGTCTGAAATGTTATGACCTCCAACTGCCAAGGTGTCACAATAAACCTTTACCTTGTTAACATATTCTCTTATGCTAAGGCCCCCTTTCTTAAGGTTTTGTAGTTGAATCTTGTAATACATAGTTCTAGTCTTTGATCTGGTTGAAAATGAGGCTTCTAGCCCCTTCCAAATTTCAGAGGAGCTGTTCATACCTATGACTGAGATCAAGATAGATTCTGATAAAGAAGAGAGGAGCCATGGAGCCAATAATTGATCCTGCCTTTGCCAGCTAAGAAAATCTGGATTGATCTGCAGCGAGCCTTCTTCTTCTCCTGGTATAAATCTGGTGGGAGGAATATTTGTACCATCAAGGAAACCTTCTAAACCATAGCCTCTCACTGTAGTAAGAACCTGTTGTCTCCACAAGAGATGATTTTCATCTGTGAGTTTAATGGTAATGAGTTAGTTATGGAGAGGTATTGGTTGAAGGCTTGAAGGATGGTTGTTATTGTGTAATGAAGAAGAACTTGAAGCCATGGTTTGAGCAACAACAGATTAAGAAAGCTATCCCTGCTCTGATACCATGTTAGAAATGAACATGACCATGTTGGATTTAATGTGAAGATAAGAAATGAGTAGAATGCTTGAAGAAGAACTCAATAACACTGAATTGAACTTGTTGTAGTTTTCATACATAGAGCATACAAAACCATGGCTACTTATATAAAGCTAAACCCTAGGACATCAAGTGATAACCACCCAATCCACTACTATATACATGACTACAATAAATTGCCGTAGGAAACTGCATGGTTGCATGCAGACGTCATGCATGTAAAGAGCTGCCACGTCTATCTTCATGTCTAACACTAATGGTAATGGATATGATATTATTTAGATAAAAAAAAGGGCCACGTGGCCTAACAGAATTGGCAAGTACGGACGGGCAATTTGGGAAGTCTAAGCAATCCATTCGGACAGTTTTGGGCAACAAGGTAACACACTCCTTCATAAGAGAGTGACGTATGTTAATTCCAATATTACATTCTCTATATACTTTACATACTACTGTTCATCGTCTCCATATTCTGACTTAAGTATCGAAGGCTCTACGCCGAAAAATAAAAAAAAATCCTTACGACATTGAATTTGTGCAGGTATTGAATGTCATCAATGTTGGGTTTTTTGCTCTTTTGTCCAACATCGGTATGGGATGAGAGAGGGGAGAAGTTTTTCCCTATATAAGAAGGTGCTACTTCTTATGTTAAATCATCCCACAGAGTTATTGTGTTAACAATTAATCTCTGGTTAAAAATTCCTTAGGGTGAGAGTTAAGGTTAACGGATAGAAAATTATGTGGGGTAATTTGGGTATAAGTGAGTGTTGAAAAATTGTGTGATTGTAATTTTTTTTACATAGTGGATTTTTCTACGGCCTTGTTGCCCTGGTGGTTTTTCCCTCTTTGTTACAGAGGGTTTTCCACGTTAAACTTTGTGTTCTCCAGTTTTATTATTTTCAGTAGATCTTGGGCGGAGTTTCGGTGTGGTCGGAATTCCCAACAATTGGTATCAGAGTGAGGTTAGCCTAGTTGGTATTCTGAGTATGCTCTGTGGTTGTAGTTTTGTCTGATCTTTCACATCATAAAAGATACTAAAGAGGTCTGTTCGTGCGGTGGAGCCAGTGACGGGTGGAGCTTGTGTGCAGAGGAGGTTTTTGGGCAGTGGGGAATAATTACTATGTAAGTAGGTTCTGTCTAGGAGACTTGATTTTTTTTTTAAGTGGGACCGTTGTGACCCCACCAGCCTTTCTTGGGAGCTTACTTAGAAGGGTAATTCTTTAGGGGGCAGGTCGCTATCCTCCCTGAGAATTTATCTGATCAGTACTATTCAAGGTTGCTGCTCGGTTTTCTGCGAAGTTAGTGTTCACTAATTTACGAAGATGTCTGGAAATAAGATATCGAATCTAGCGAGATTTGATGTGGAGAAATTCGACGGAAAAATCAACTTTGGTTTGTGACAAGTGCAAGTGAAGGACGTGCTGATTCAGTCGGGGTTACACAAAGCTTTGAAGGGCTCGAAAATTCCCAAAGGCAGTGCTACCGCACTGAAGAAAAAGCTGGTGTGAGCAAATCTGGAATGAGCGATGAAGATTGGGAGGAACTGGATTTGAGAGCGGAAAGCGCGATACGACTGTGTCTGGCCAAGAATGTTCTTGCTAATGTGCATGGAATTTCGACGGCAAAAGCATTATGGTTCAAGCTTGAGGAGTTTTATCAGGCTAAAGGCATCTCAAATCGGGTGTATCTGAAGGAGCAGTTTCACACACTGCGAATGACTGAAGGTCAAAGCATCTCAGACTACTTAAGCGTTCTCAATGGGATGGTCTCGGAGCTGCAATCCATTGGAGTGAAGATTGATGATGAGGATCATGCGTTGAGACTCATCTGGTCTCTTCCAACTTCTTATGAACACATGAAGCCGATCTTGATTCATGGGAAGGAGAAAATTGTATTTTCTGAAGTCACTGGTAAACTTCTTGCGGAAGAGAGAAGGCTAGATGGTGGACGAAACAATTCACCGGAAGGTCAAGTCATGCTCGTCGGTGACGGAAAGAAGAGGAACTCCAGGAAGAAGCAAGTTGTGATTTGCTGGACGTGTGGACAATCTGGGCACGTGAAAAGAAATTGTCCGAAAGGAGGAGCAGGTTCGGCAAAGAGCTCGAAGTCGGTAAGTGGAGATACCGAAGAAGCTAATTTTATCTCTCTCTCAATGGATGAGTTTTGCTAAGAGAGAAAGGGGAGTCCTTATGGCATGTCGCTAAGTGTCATGAAAGAGGACGTGTTACAATTAGCGGGTCCACAGTTTACACACAGGCATTGGTTTGGCGGTGATGCAAGGTGTGTGGTGGAAAAAGCGTGTCGAGGGCTGATGAACTTCTAGAAAAGCCAAACGTGAAGTTGCACCATAGATTTCAGCAAGGTTATTTCAACATGGGCCGAAGAAATGCTTGGATGCAAGTCCGAGTGGATATACTTTTATGGTGGAGCATGATAGCAAAAGCTATGAAAAAAAACTTCATCAAAGTGAATAGTGGCTGTCAGATGGGCCAAAATCGCAAGGTAGAGTTTGTTGAGTTTTTTGCTCTTTTGTCCCACATCGGTATGAGATGAGAGAGGGGGGGAGTTTTTCCCTATATAAGAAGGTGCTACTTCTTATGTTAAATCATCCCACAGAGTTATTGTGTTAACAATTAATCTCTGGTTAAAAATTCCTTAGGGTGAGAGTTAAGGTTAACGGATAGAAAATTCTGTGGGGTAATTTGGGTATAATTGAGTGTAGAAAAATTGTGTGATTGTAATTTTTTTTACATAGTGGATTTTTCTACGGCCTTGTTGCTCTGGTGTTTTTCCCGCTTTGTTAACAGAGAGTTTTCCGCGTTAAACTTTGTGTTCTTCAATTTTATTATTTTGAGTAGATCTTGGGTGGAATTTCGGTGTGGTCGGAATTCCCAAAAATCAACCGACAAGAAAAGCGATTCAGGTCAAACCAAGGTCCGTCTGACATCTTTTACATACCACCACCCACATGCTTCTTGCTAAAATTAAATGAAAATAAGCTAAGAGAACATGGCAATTCCAACATAGTTAAAAGATGACTTACTTTGTACCAAAAAAAAAAAAAAAAGATGACTTACAAATGATAAAGTGAAATAAAGCTAAACAAATGCATCAAAATATTGTGAAATTGTCGAGCCGTTAATTATTTATTCTATTCACAACCATGAATTATTTATTTATTTTAGTGCAACCTCGTATATAATCACAACCATTCTAGAAGGTTGTATTGGAAAAATATTTATTTATTTTTTTTTTTATAATAACAACACTCATAATAACTATTTTGTTCTTTTATACACAAAAATTCCATACCCCCATTCAATTTGGAACTTCATAACCTTGGTTCTATAGCACTAACGAATATTCGGTATATATCCACCATTGTTTGTCAACTAATTTGCAATTCTAGTTAAACTAATTATGTTCAACTGAAGAACGGGTGAATGCAATATCCATGTCTGAAAAATCTGAGGAGACCATTGTCTCAGAGGCTGCCCACAACCGAGCCGCTTCTGCCGAGCTTGAACCCAATTTGGACGTCGAGGCTTCATTACAATCCGAGTAGTATTTACCACTTATGTTAGCAAGTCTTGGGTTTGTCCCCACATAGCAAGTAGTAGCAGCTGCCTGCAGATTTTTCTTTCAAATTATTTAAAATGGAAATGAAATATTTATAAATTCTGTTTATTTTCATTGGTATGTGCATGTGTAATGAATTTATTAACAAGTGTTACCTGCGGTATAGTCTTCAAGAGTTTGGAAGCCAACAAAAACACCAAATCTGCATATATACATAAATTAGGTTTTTGTGTTAGATTTTTTTTTTTTTTTTTTAAAAAAAAATATTATGCAAGTGAAATTGTAAGGACTATAATAATAAATAAATATAATAATTATAACATTAAATGATCACCACACCAGTGATAAGGCCTTCACGATCTCTAGTGAGTTTGGTTCTAACAATCCCTGGATGAACACAGTTGACAGTCACATTTGCTCCCATTTCCTGGAGCAAGCGGGCAAGTTCCTTGGTATGCAAAACGTTGGCCAGTTTTGAGAGGGCATACGCACGTGTCCCATCGTATTCACTATCGTTAATTAAGTGGTCAGTAGTTTTACGCTGAATCTAAATATATGGCATCAATGTATTGATTTATATTGATTTATATTGTACCAAAAAAAATATATTGATTTATAGGATTCAGATTTTTTTAGCATTTACTATCAATATTAGCATTTACTACATAAAAAAAATAATGTATAACAAATATATTAATTAATTATTAGTAATATTTATTTACATTAATTTAATATATTTATACAAATGCTTTTGTTACGGAGTTATTCATAGTTATTCACAAGTGATGTGTTGACACGTGTCTTACATTAAATACACATTGAACATGTGTTAGTATATAAAGTGATAGATGACTCCATAAGTGAACCATCCGATGACTCCATAGAATTTATGTTTAAACAAATTATTATTAATAAGTTAATTATTTAATTATTTAAAATATATTCATTACATAAATTTGTGTTCATATATATACGAATAAAAAAAACATTATTTGAATTTCTTATTATTCATCTTATTATATAAATACGCTCTTATTCATTGTAGTAGTAGTAATAATATATAATAATAATAATAATAATAATAATAATAATAATAATAAATTGGCATAAGTAGTAGTAGGTGAAGTTAATTTAAGTGTGGAAGACTGACCTCTTATCGTTGGTAATTAAGTCTAAATAACGAAGCGCATCTCCCGAAAACCAGCTGTGAATACTGGAGGATACATTCACTATTCTTCCTTGTACGCCGCTACTTTTCGCCGTCTCCATCATTTTATTTAACATTAGCTTTGTCAACAGAAAGTGACCTAATTTAATGGATAACAACAAAAATCAAACTCATTTAAATAAATAAAATTAATTAAAAAGGAAATTCCGAATAAAATATATTTAAATAGACAAAATTTGTACCCAAGTAATTAGTAGCAAAAGTCATCTCAATTCCATCCTCCGAAATAGCATGATCGTACGAGAACTTCCCCGCATTATTTCTACCAAAAAAAAAAATACCAAAAAAGTAGGGCGTATATTTTAATGAATCGAATAGATAAAAGCTAACAAAAACAAATTACCATAATCATGAATTCATGATTCAAATAATAATAAAAAAAAAAGAATTAAATGAAAATTAATTATATTATTACACTAGAAGATTGAGAGGAAGATTAAGAGAGTGAAAGTCGGCGACAAATCGGCGTACGGAGTTGAGTGAGCTGAGGTCAAGGCCCATGACAAGAATGTCCGACTGGGGAAACTCGGACAAAATGCGAGAGCGAGTCTCCTCGGCCGCTTTGAGGTTGCGGGCCGGAAGAACGAGGCGAGCCCCGCGCATAGCCAGCACCCTGGCCGTCTCCTCCCCTATCCCAGATGTCGCACCTGTAATAATTAACCTCCGAATTAATGACTAGCTAGTAGTAATAAATATCAAAGGAAAAAAAAAAAAACCTCCGATAGCTAAGCTAGCTGATTAATTTTGAAATCTTCTCCCATATATCCATCACCATCACCTGTGATGATGGCCGTGATATGGCGGAGATCAGGGCAGACGGCCGTCACTTGCTCCGCCGTGGACTTGGAACTGAACCCACTCGCCCCAGCCGTGCCCATCAGGTACTTGACTGTTTCTAGCATTTTCATTTTTTTTTTCCTAATTAATTTCTGAAAATTAAAATAAATTCTCTCTTTCTATTGAAGAGGATTTTTGTGGGTGACGGCGAATAGTCAACAAACAGAGACTAGGTAGGGTAAAGGGAATAGTAGGCGGCTAGGCTAGGCTAGTTAGAGGCTTCTTTATATCTTTATTTGTACGTATTTTCCTTTTATTGACCTTTCTTTGGTGGTGGAGGTGATGGTGGTGGTGAGGGGGGCAGAGATAGATGTATAGATACAGGCAAGTTTGTAAGCATGTGCGTCTTTTGTTCGTGGGATGGTGGGATTATATTTATCGGAAATGTTATGGTGTCGTTACGAAACCATTTCATCAGAAATTGTAATCGTTAGATTATTTTATAATTGTTGGGGATAATTGATCTAACGGTTACCATTCCCGACGTAATCTATCGTAATGAATCCGTCGCATCTCCCTTTATTTATTTATAGTTGGGAAACAGCCCCTCCATTTATAACGTGTGAGTGGGTGGGGATTTGGGTATCGAATCTATTATAATTACAGGATTATATCTTTGTCATCCATTGATTTGGATATTTAATATGTATATTTATGAAATGTAATTGGATTGTTTATTGTTCTGCGGATTGTCATCACTGGATTTCGCACTTCAACATGGTCTGTATTATTGTAATCACCTAATCATTGCTCAATTTTTTAAGCAAATAATTGTAACTAGCTTTTTCAAGGAACCTTATTTTCTGATTCTTGACTTTAACCAATTCATAGGGACCATGATGTGTGTATGTGTGTAAAGATATATATTAGTACAACACTCGTGTTACTACACGGATGGTTGATAAAATAATTAAATGTATAACAACAAAAAATATTTATATTTTTGTTGAAGTTGGAAAAAATAAATACTGAAAAATACATAACAATTTATAATAAAGAACAAAGTGATTAACAATTTATTATTAATTTTATTTATAATATTTTTATTTAAAACATAAAAGGGAATAATATAGATAAATCACAAAATTTGGAAAGTAAGATTATACGCACATTATAGAAAGAAGATCACAATAGATTTTTATGGAATTGTTTAAATATATTAAATGTGTATATATATGACAATTCGAATCTAAGGAGTGTGATATAGGATATTATACCCACAAGGCTAAACCGGTCTACTGACCGATCGAGAAGATTGTACCGTGAGGAAGTCTAGGAAATCGAGCAGTTGACCAGTCGACCAGCTAAGCAACCGACCAATCTATCCTTCGACCAGTTGAACGGTCGAGCAGTTCAGTCGACCTCGATCGATCGACCACTTCACGGGCTTAACACTGCATAAATCGGCCTAGTCACAGGCGTGTGAAAGAGCCTCTAACGGAATTTCAGAAGAATATTCATCCCATTTGCAGGAGGACACGTGTCGAGAACTTATTGGGTGATAGCGACAACCACCTCTGACAGCTCCCAACGCCTCGCGCCACCTCTGACATACGCGCTGTGTGTCAGAGTACGGACGGGCAGCTTGGGCAGCCAGCGCACCTTATCCGGGCAGCTATTAGGGCAGATATCTCACCCCTATATAAAGGGGGTGAGCCTTTCTCCCTTAACACGATTTTTCCATTATTCACTTCAGTATACTCATACACATACTGATTTAAGCATCGGAGGCTCTTCATCGGACACAACCCCCGGTGTGAAAGTTACTTGCAGGTTTCCGACGTTCTACCGGTGAGGACGAGAATCGATCTATTCCGAACCGGACTAGGGCGTTCACACTTACATTATTGGCGCCGTCTGCGGGACTTTTGTCCGAGAAGTTTTGTTTGAAGCTCAGCTATGGCGGACGGAATTCCCAGAACCAACTTGCAGTCGACGTTCGACGACGCTTGGACGACGATCAGGCCGATGGGGCAAGGCCCTCCTCCGGGTTTCTCTGGCCCTTTACAGAAGCCGATCACTCCTACACCCGTCCTTCAAGGTGTGTGAGCGTCTACGGCAATTCCCGGGGGAGATGCCAGCTCCAGTCAGGCCCAGGAGGCTCGCGCAGCAGCTGCGGCGGCGATGCCACCGCCGCCGCCCCAAAACCCAGTGGTGGCGCAACCAGGAGGAGCGATGGTGCAAGGAGGAGTGGCGACACAAGGAGGAGCACCACCGGAAGCCGTTGCACAAGCTCCCGGTCAAAAAGTGGTGACGATGACCAGGGAGGAGATGCAGAGGATAGCGGCGGCCACGGCGGCGTAGGCGGTGCAGCAAGTCACGAGCCACACATCTCACGCCACCATCGCGCCGACCACAGTAGTAGGAAGCCAGGACGAGGATGTGTCCAGTTATGGAGATGGAGGTGGAAGAGACCGTGCGATGGAGAGGATGGCGGAGCAGTTGCGCCAGTTGCAGCACAAGGTTGAGGGGAGGCCGAAGAGGAGAGCTCGAGGACATCCTTTCTCGAGGGAGATTCTCGCTGCTCCCTTACCGAATAATTTCAAGGAGACTAATTTGGTGTATGACGGGTCATCTAACCCATCGAGGCATGTGAGGACCTTTGAGAATATGACTGTGTTACATGGATATTCTGATTCTGGATTGATAAGGAGTCTTCGAGCGGGGCCTTGTCGAACCTCCCTGGCAAAGACCCCTGCTCTATCATATGAGGATGTTTTGAAGGGATGCAGGAAGTATATTAATCTGGAGGAGATGGAGGTGGAGTTTGCAAAATTGGAGGGGGCAGCTCGACTAGAGCTGAAGAAGGAGAAGAGCCAACAAAAGGGGAGGTCATCAAGGAGGAGTTCGCCCAAAAGGAGTGGGCTGAAAAGAGCGTCGCCCAGGAGAGAGGGTCGAGATTCAAAACAGGAGAAAAGGGATGATAGGTGGCAGGGGAGGCCTTTGTCGTTCGAAAGACAGAGGTACCATAATTTTACACCTCTGAGAAAAGACTTGACAGAAGTGCTCGAGGAGATGGAGCAGAAGATGTCGAGCGAGGATGTGACGTGGCCGAAGACGAGGTTTACAGGCCCGATTCGACCCAGATCAGACATCTACTGCATGATCCCTCGAGGGGAGTTTAACTCACTCGAGCTGATACAGATCCCTCGAGGGGAGAATGGTCGAGCAGATTTTATTGTCGAAAATTGCCCAAAGTTTGGTGGACTGTATGAGCAGAAGTGTGACTCTATTACATTTAGAGAGAAGAGTGGTCGAGGCGGAAGTGGTGGAGATTGAGGAAGTGGAAGATTGGAGGGCCCCGATTTTGAAGGAGTTGAAGGAGGGGACGGTAAAAAGCAGTGAGAAGATTTTTTGAGCACAGAGGCATTCTTTATTAACGGTCGTATGCTGGGCCACATTTCCGCTGCGTGACTAAGGAGGAGGGTCGGTACGTGCTGAGAGAAGTGCACGAAGGGTGCTGCAGCGACCATAGCAAGTCAGGAGCCCTGGTTGCGAAAATTCTTAGGGCGGGATACTTTTGGCCGACGATGAAGGAGGATGCGAAATAGATGGTGAGAAAATGTTTACAGTGCCAGAAGAACGACCCGCTTATCCATCAACCGGCAGAAGCAATGACAACGATGAGTGCCCCTATACCATTTGTCCAGAGGGGAATCGACCTTGTGGGGCCAATGCCGCAAGGAACTGGGCAGAGGAAGTTCTTGATTGTGGCAGTGGATTATTTCACAAAATGGGTGGAGGCCGAGCCCCTGGCCAAGATCACGGAGGAGAAAGTAATCAAATTTTTATACAACAACATTTGCTGCAGGTTTGGCGTTCCTAAAGTGCTGATATCCGACAACGGTACTCAATTCAATGGCAAGCGGATTCGAGCATGGTGTGAGGACATGAAGATCGAGCAACACTTTGCCTCTGTCACTCATCCGCAAGCCAATGGCCAGGTCGAGGTGACCAACCGAATTATACTAAATGGGCTGAAAACGAGGCTGGAGAAGGCCTCGGGGGCGTGGGTTGACGAGTTAACTTCAGTACTTTGGGCGTACCGCACAACCCCGAGGTCGACAATAGGAGAAACTCCGTTCAGTTTAGTCTACGGGATGGAAGCACTGCTGCCAGTTGAGGTCGAGTTATCATCGCAAAGGTCGAGCACATATGACCCGAGGCAAAACGAAGAGTTAATGATGGCGACTCTAGACACTATTGAAGAGCTGCGCGAAAGAGCATCGATTAGAGTGGAGGCATACAAGTAAAGGATGCGAGCCGCTCATGACCAGAAAGTGAAAGTTCGCAGACTTCAAGTAGGCGACCTGGTTTGGAAATGGGTCGATGTGCTCAAGCATGTGGAAAAGGCTGAGCCAAACTGGGAGGAACCATACCTGGTCGAGCGAGTGCACGCAGGAGGAGCGTACTCGCTGAAGGACGCAGAAGGCTGATCACTTGCCAGGTCATGGAACATAGCTAATTTGAAAAAATATTATGTGTAAAATTTTTGTTTTTTTTTTCAAAGGAAGCTGGAAAATTTGAACAAGGATGTAAATTGCAAAGTTTGCTCAAAAAAAGTTAATGAAATCCAGTTATCCCTCCGTATTACTTGCTTTATTGCACATTTTCTTATGCTTGGAATGTTGGTATGATTTGGATGACATGATGTATATAGTGTGGTTTAATTTGGAAGTCGGTTGTTTAGAACATCCCTTGGGGTGGGCAGGTTGGTCGATTACTCACGCCCTCGGGCTGGGTGACCTCCTGTTTGGAACATTCCTCGTGGGTGGGCAAGTGTGAAGACCAAAACCCACCATGACTAAGGCCCTCGGGCTGGGTGGTTCGAGTCGTTTGTTTAGAACATCCCTTGGGGTGAGTAGGTTGGTCGATTACTCACGCCCTCGCGCTGAGTGACCTCCTGTTTGGAACATTCCTCGTGGGTGGGCAAGTGTGAAGACGAAAACCCACCATGACTAAGGCC